TAGTAATTCATCCCCCATAGTAATTCATCCCCCATATAGTAATTCATCCCCCATAGTAATTCATCCCCCATATAGTAATTCATCCCCCATAGTAATTCATCCCCCATATAGTAATTCATCCGCCATAGTAATTCATCCCCCATATAGTAATTCATCCCCCATATAGTAATTCATCCCCCATAGTAATTCATCCCCCATATAGTAATTCATCCCCCCTATAGTAATTCATCCCCCCTATAGTAATTCATCCCTCATAGTAATTCATCCCCTATATAGTAATTCATCCCCCACATAGTAATTCATCCCCCATAGTAATTAATCCCCCATATAGTAATTCATCCCCCATAGTAATTCATCCCCCATATAGTAATTCATCCCCCATAGTAATTCATCCCCCATATAGTAATTCATCCCCCCATAGTAATTCATTCCCCCATATTGTGTCAATTCACTTACCTTTGCTCCGCGCGTTCCTCTCGCCGTGTTCCCGCGCCGTTCCGGTCTTCAGGGCGGACTGTGAGAGGAGTTCGTCACGCTGCCCCGCCTACATCCTGACAGCCAATGTTTGCCACACTCCGCGGGCCGGATTAAAAGGTCCGCCGGGCCGTAGTTTGCCCATTGCTGGGCTAGCTGCAGAGTCCTGACTTTTGGGGCGGCCGCCCGAGAGGAGGGAGGGGAGCGGGCGCCCGGCACACAGAAGAGCCACATTAAAATGTGTAAATAGCCGGGGCTTGCCGACCACTGAGCTACGGCAACCCTATTGCCTGTCACCTGGTGGGCAGTGGGAGCCGCAGCAAAGGTGAAAAAGAGCAGCATGTGGCTCTGGAGCCGCGGGTTACCGACATCCGGTATAGATACTGCAATTTACGCCATTTTTTTGCTATACAGCACTGCGCTAGTTTAATGGACAATTGTGTGGTCATGCAATACGGTATATAAATTAAATTTATGTCTTTTTTTTTCACACAAATAGAGCTTTCTTTTCGTGGTATTTGATCACCTGTGCACTTTTTATTTTTGGTGCTATAAACAAATGAAGAAAAAAATATTTTAAAAAAAACTATATTTTCTCATTCTGGTCATAAAAATATCCAAAAAAAACCCCTAAAATTTCATCATAAGTTTAGGTCAAAATGTATTCTGCTACATGTTTTTGGTTAAAAAAAAATCTCAGTAAGTGTATATTTATTGCTTTGTGTGAAAGTTATAGCATCTACAAACTATGGTATAAATAATGGAATTTACACAGCTTTAACTTTCTGATTGCTCATCACATTTTTTGAGGTGCTAAAATACCAGGATAGTAAAAACACCCTCAAATTACCCATTTTTGGAAAGTAGACACCCTAAGCTATCTGCTGAGAGGCATATTGAGTCCATGGAAGATTAATTTTTTTTCCACAAGTTTCTGGAAAATGACAAAAACATTTTTCTTTACACAAAGTTGTCATTTAAATGATTTATTTCTTGCACAAGCTATGGGTATATGTGAAATCACACCCCAAATACATTCTGCTACTTCTACAGAGTATGGGGATACCACATGTGTGAGACTTTTTGGGAGCCTAGCCACATACAGGAGCCTGAAATCCAATGACCACTTTGAAAGCCTGAAGGTGCGTAACTTCCTCATTTCACTTCCTCAATACCTATCACAGTTTCGAAGGCCCTGACATGCCAGGATAGCACCAAACCCCCCCAAATGACCCCTTTCTGGAAAGTAGACACCCCAAGGAATTAAAAAGAGGCATGGTGAGTATTTTGCAGATCTAATTTTTTCTCACAAGGTTTTGAAATATAAAAAAAATAGAAAAAGTATGTTTTTGTTTTTTTTCTTCATTTTCCAAAAACTTGTGGCAACAAATGAGATCTGCCAAATATTTACAATGCTTCTTATCAAATTCCTTGGGGTGTCTACTTTCCAAAAAGGACCAGGTGTCTAGCTGCTATTTATCTTTTCATTAGGTTTATTTCTAGTGTTAGAATTACTGCCCTTGATCTGACGTTCAGGGTGATACCTCACATGTATGGCGCAACCGCGGTTTACATACCGACAGGGTCAACCCTTGTGCACACAGGTGTGCGTGCATGGGAGCGGCGAGAATTTTTTTTTTAAGTTATTTAGATTTTTTTTTTATTATTTTTACACTGTACCTTTCATATTTTTTTTATCACTTTTAATGCTATCACAGGGAATGCAAATATCCCCGTATAACTACAATGGGCATTGTCATATATTCTTTTTTGTGAAATCTGGGGTCTGTCAGACTCTGGATATCTCCTCTGCCCTTACATTATCTAATCAAACCAAGATCGGTGTGATCAGATGCTTTCCCAATTTACAAATGGCGCTGTTTATATATTGCAAAACTGAAGTGATGAAATGCTCATAGCTTCCAAATTTTTAGACTATAGAGATGATTGGCACCACTCTGGTCTCCAATCAGCTCGATGGTCAGCTAGCAGAAACACCGGCTGCATTCTCAGGTTCCCCCCGATGGCACGGGACTGCCCGAGAAGGCCGTAGAAGGCAGCAGGGAAGGGGGGGGCATCATCTCCTGCTGCTTGTAAAAGCATATATATATATATATATGTGATTTTGCGCACCCATGCCGCCCTGTAGCAGTATTTCTGCTATAGGGTGGTCAGGAAGCAGTTACAGAAGTGGTTTGTGTTACATCGCTGCGTTACTTTAGCTGACAAATGCCCGGTCATACAACCCTGCACTCAAATTAAATCGCCTGTGCGTTTTTTATTTTTTGCACTATAAAAATAAAACACTGACAATTTTGAGAAAAAAAAAAAAACAATATTTTGGACTTTTTGCTATAAAACATGCCCAGTAAAAAAAAATTAAAAATCAAATTCCATCATAAATTTTGGCTAAAAATATTTTCTTTGCTAAAAAAAAAATCCCAATACATGTAAATTATTGGTTTATGTGAAAGTTATAGCGTCTACACATGGCTGGAAAGATACTGGGATTTTTTTTTATACTAATAATGGCGGCGATCAGCGACTTATGGCGGTGATCAGCGATTTATGACAGTGATCAGTGACTTATGGCGGGACTGCGGCAGACATTTTGACACTGGGGGGAAACTGACTTGGGTGACACCAATACAGTGATCAGTGCAAAAAAAAATCCAATAACACTGTAGTAATGGCACTGGGGAGGAAGGGGTTAACATTTTTAGGCAATCAAAGGGTTAACTGTGTGAGGGGAGTGTTTTCCTAGTGGGCAGGGTTGTGTGTACTTCACAGGTACACACTGATCCCAAGAGCTAAACTCCACTCTCAGGAACGGTGTGTTGGGAACTGACAGGGAGCAGGGCTGCATTGTAAACAATGCAGCTGTGCTCTGTGTCAGTGTTTGCCGGCAATTGCCAGGACCTGGCGGGTAATGACCGGCCGGGACCCGGTAATTGACACCCGCGGCCGCGATCGGCAGGGCGGGTAGGACGATACCCGATATGCAAAATGACATTTATAAATGTGATTTTGCGCAGCGGTGCCACCTTGCCGCAGTATATATACTGTGGCTGGTTGGCAAGCGGTTAATTATGTTTGGAGTCCTGTGAGATTGTTGTACCAGTTCGACAATACTTCTGATTTTGCTCTAGTTCTGGGACAGCCCGCCCCACCCTCTTGCAATAAATATCTCATACAAGCAAAAGTGAATTTACATTTTCATTATCACAAGTTTACAGAATCTTATACCTAACATGAATCCAGGGGAAGACAAAAAACCCTATAAAGCATGGTCCAATTTTCTTCTTCAGTAGGGGAAAAAAATTTCCTGATCTCCCAAGGCAATTGGATATTGCCTGGATCGATAATCTCTGGTGTTATCAATTATACATGTGCAGTCCTCTTTTACAAGGTTAAGAGAAATGACCCTCTCCAAACACAATAGTGGTTTAAACCTGTAGGTAAATAAAAGAACCAGAACCTTCGCTAAGTGAAATAATGGGTTTGATAATAAAGTTGAAATCACCTTCACCTAGGACATTGTGAACAGAGGGGGTTCCCTTCTTGGGAAATTAACCAGCCATCTAATGAAAGCATTTGGGAGCAGAGGAACTACTGTAACCACCATATACATAGCATTAACCAAAAGTATATATACTGTATATATACACTATATTGTCAAAAGTATAGGGATGCCTGCCTTTACACACACATGGACTTTAATTGCATTCCAGTCTTAGTCTGTCGTGTTTAATATTGAGTTGGCCCACCCTTTGCAGCTATAACTGCTTCAACCCTTCTAGGAAGGCTGGCCATAAGGTTTAGGAGTGCGTCTATGGGAATGTTTGACCCTTCTTCCAGAAGTGCATTTGTGAGGTCAAGCACTAATGTCAGACGGGAAGGCCTGGCTCGCAGTCTCCGCTCTAATTTATCCCAAAGGTGTTCTATCGGATTGAGGTCAGGACTCTGTGCAGGCCAGTCAAGTTCCTCCACCTTAAACTTGCTCATGCATGTCTTTATGGATCTTGCTTTGTGCACTGGTGCGCAGTCATTTTGAAACAGGAAGGGGCCATCCCCACAACGTTGGAAGCATGAAATTGTCCAAAATGTCTTGATATGCTGATGCCTTAAGAGTTCCCTTTCCCTTCACTGGAACTAAGGGGCCAAGCCCAACCCCTGAGAAAACAACCCCACACCATAATCCCCCTCCACCAAACTTTATCCAGATACGTCTTATGGATTGCCAGACAGAGAAGTGTGTTTTGTCACTCCAGAGAATATGTCTTCACTACTCTGTGGTGGTGGGCTTTACACCACTGCATCCAATGCTTTGCATTGCACTTGGTGATGTAAGGATTGGATGCAGCTGCTCAGCCATGGAAACCCATTCCATGAAGCTCTCTATGCACTTCTGTTGTGCTAATCTGAAGTTTAACTATTGACTCTGCAGACAGTTGGCGACTTCTGCGGACTGTGCGCTTCAGCATGCGCTAACCCCGCTCTGTCATTTTACGTGGCCTACCACTTCATGGCTGAGTTGCTGTTGTTCCTAGTTGCTTCCACTTTAATACAATACCACTAACAGTTGACCGTGGAATATTTAGAAGCAAGCAAATGTCATGGATGGATTTTTTGCGCAGGTGGCAACCTATCACGGTACCACGCTTGAATTAACTGAGCTCCTGAAAGCGACATATTCTCTCACAAATGTTTGTAGAAGCAGTCTGCATGCCCAGGTTCTTGATGTTATACACAGTATGAAAAAAAATACAAGAAAAAGAGTAATAATACTACGTACAGTACATCCTGCATACAAATAAGTATTATTAGCAAAGGGCCCAACAAGAGTCCTGATGGTTTTTGTATATATACTTGGGTGCAGACTGTATAGTCATTAATAAAGATACCTCCAGAAGAATGTTGCGGTAACGTTCAGTTGCAGAGGTCCCTGAGAATGTGTCAGAAACCTGAAGACAAGATCAGCGGTGATGGGGAGATCCTCCAACTATTGTCCAACCAGCCTGGGATGCAGATTACCACCAGCAAAAACTTTGGTATGGCACTCTACTCAGATTCAGCCCATTTACTCTGCATCTTAGTCCATACTTCTACCAGAAGTGGCCATCGGATGCCTAACCTGGCTATAGCCTATGCTGGTGTTTGAGCCCTGACCTAAAATTTGCTATAAAATCCCAGACCAGAAGGGACAGGGTTAACTAAAATAACAGGAACTGCATATAAACTATATTAAATAAAAACAGGTTTACCTATTAAAACAATGAAAGGTGACCACTATACACATACATTAGCACAGACCTAGCTGTCAAGCACTGTGCATGTGAGATGCAAGAAAATGGAAGCCCTGATTTTGGTAGAGGAACTGGGGTTGGCCCTTGCCCAGTTTAAACTGAAAAAAGCTCCGGGCCCAGATGGTCTGACAACCTACTATAAAACCTTTTTCGAACTTTAGACTCCATGTCTAGTATTCGCCATCCGCTCCTTTGTGAAAGGAAAGCAAATGCCTGTTGACACACTCAGAGTGTTTATCTTGCTTATCCCCAAGGAACTGAAGTTTGTGGCAGTTATTGACCAATAGCTCTTTCGAATACCAACTTGAAGTTATTAGTGAAGGAGTTAGCAAACAGGCTTCTTCCTCACATTCCCGCCTTATCCATAGGGATCAGGCCAGTTTTTTACCCCGAGACAACACAATCAGGGTATTCAATCTGATCCATGCAGCCAAATCATTGCAACATCCTCTTACACTGCTCTCCAGTGATGCGGAGAAAGCATTTCATCATGCCAGTTGACACTTTATGAGAGCCAAATTGGAGCACATAGGCTTGAAGGCCCATATGCTCTCTTGGATCTCCACTCTGTATTTGTCTCCTATGGTGGCTGTACGGGTGGATGAAACCATATCTGACTTTTTATTGATTACAAATGAGACAAGGCAGGGGTGTCCCATAATTTTCATCCTCACCGTGGAGCCGTTTCTTTGCTCGGTTTAGGCCAGCCCAAATATCTCAAGTTACAATAGACCATTGGGCATACACAAAGTAGCCACATTTGGCAATGATCTCATTGCTTTTGTGGAGAAACTCCTTACAACTTTACGGAACGTATTGCATGCTCTCAAGAATTGTGGCCCTTTGTTGAATTTTAGGATCAATCTTGCAAAATCTTCAGCTCTTAACATTTCCATTGAGTCCACTACAATTGATTGGCCTTTTTTTTACCTTTTGCTGGGCCTGAAAATGCTTTATTCTGCAAATTTTGAACCTCTCTTACAGAGTATAAAGGGGGACTTGTTGCACTGGCACACACTGGCCTTGACATGGTTCAGCCCCTGTAGTGCATTCTTTAAACAAATCAACTCAATGTTTAGGTCCTTCATATGGTTTTGTAAGAAACCTCATCTCAAACTGCAGGGCTTGGTTTTGTCTAAAGTACATAGCGGAGTGGGACTTCCAGACATCCAGGTCTACTACCAGGCAGTGCATTTGACCAGGTTGGAGGACTGGCAATGTCATGGCTCAGCTAAATGCTGGGTGGTATAGGAACTTGAGGACTCTCAGGGCACAGCCTTGAGCTAGCCATGGATTTCCTCACCGCTTCCGACTGAGCTCTACAAAAATCCCCTGTTAGAGGGCACATTGATGGTTGCTAGAGGCTTTCAGGGCAAGTTTTGGCCCTCCCTTTTCCCTTTGTGCCTATAGTTGGCAATCAGGTGATTGTCCTGGGTCTTTTCAATAAACATTTTTGACAACTCCAGTCTTGTGGATATTCCCGGGGATATGTACTGTAGATAATCACAGTATGGGCAGCCCCGAGAACTCATTTGACTAGCAATGAGACAAGAGCACAAAACAACAAATAAAGGAGCACTCATGACCTTGTAGAAGCCAATACAGTCACAGGCCAAAGAAACAGATACAATCAAAATTCACTTTAATGCTGGGTTAAAAAACATGACATGTAGGAGTGCCCAGACTGATACATAACCAAGCCAGTGGAGAAGAGAAACACGTATTCCCAGAAGCTGAAGGATGATTTTTATTTTATCTGTTCCTGGGATTGTGACTCTATTGACTACCACAGGGTTGGGGATACTCCTTTATATGTTGATTTGTGGATATTCTCACCTGTCTGACTTTTTGTCCCTGGATAGGGTTCCTACTTCAATTGATTTGACCTGTCTTGTAGACCCCTCTCTGGACTTTTGAAGTGGCCTGTGTGAAGGGGTTAAAGTAAATAACTTTTGCACCAAGTTCACTGTATGATATTTATACATTAGCCAAAAAGATTTAGCACTCAGTGTGAAATAATAAAACAGGAATAAAATGAAACAGCAGCACAAACGTGGTTAATAGAAGACAAATAAATACTTGTGCAAAATAAGTGTGCTATCTTTAACCAGTAATTCTATTCATACACAGATATAAGCAATCAACACTATCTATTTACCCAAGTTTCAGCATGTAACAATAAAATACACAATTAATTATAATATTAATTAGCTGTAAATCAAGTACTTCAATTAGGTGGATGATGCGTGCTTCTGCGAACAGAATCTCCTTGGTTGCTCGGTGAGCATGGATATATCTGGTCCGAATCTCGCAAAATATGTGATGAACTGCATTCCCAAAGCAGAAAGCCTCCACTGAACCCCCAAAGGTGTCTGCTCACCTCCAATATAAAAAATAAAAACATTCATAGTGTTCTCTCAATTAATTTTATTCATTAAATGACAGCAGTAATGATGACACATGTTGGGTGTAGCTTGATGTTCTATGGGAGAGGTATTGCTGTGACTGTGTTGAGTGACTTGAATGTTTATCATCCATTGCATTAACAACAAGACCTGTGCCACAAATGACTGTACATACAAGTGATTGTTCTGCTTTTTAATGTGACTTTTTTCCACTTATTGTAATAAATAGAAATTATGTGGAGAACACTATGGATGTTTCTGTTTTCCTTTTGAGCTGTTATGTGGGATTAATTTAATTCAGCTAGACTGGCTGCTTGATCCATGAGGCTGCCATTTTGAGAGATAATAAATCTGGGCTGAAGCTCTGTGTGGTTTGGAAGACTTCTGATACCTGAATTCTGAGGTTTTTTTAACACAGATATTTGACCTTTGTTAAGGTCTACAGTATATTGAAGGTGAGCAGACACCTTTAGAGGGGTGGACGCTCAGTGGAGACTTTCTGCTTTGGGAGCACAGTTCTTCACTTATTTTGGAAGGTTTGCTGAATTGAGTGAACTGAACACTATTGTTTGCCACAGGGTGGTGCACACTTTAATGTTTTTCAAGAAAGAATGACACAAGTTGAACTGAATTCCCAATTTAGATAGTTGTCCCCACAACATTTGCCCCACTGGCTGATGTCCACACACCTCTTGTTCTCATGCCAAGTCAAAAATTTAGGATTTCCCTTTACTTTCTTTTTTATGACAATAATCACCAGGATAAATAGTAGAGCCAATCTCCTGAGTCAGGTAAAAACATGGCACACATTCTAACCCCTCCCTACTTTAAAATAAACTTCAAAATTAAAAATAAATGTTTTTAAATATACCTTAAAAGAAAAATGTTGAGAAAAACATTAGGTTAGCTTTTGTTAACTCATGCTAACAATGCAAGTTACCTAGCAATTATTCAGATCCTCTGACTTTAGGATTGCAGGAAGTGAAGTCAGATTAAAGTCAGAACTTCAGATCAGCACACATGTCCTGGGTGTGTGACTCACACAGTTTTGAAGATCCACACATAGGTACACAATCCTAATGAGCCACTAGAATTTTCATAAAATGATGTCAGCAGTAGCTATTTTTCTCCCCTCAGATTTCCTTTAATTACTCTTTCAAGGATCAACAATTGATTTTTTCCACCAGCATCTGGGTACATATGAGGGCATTTGGCTGAAATGTTGTCACACAAAGCATCTACGCTGCTTAAGAGCAGCAGGTCCATGGTTTTTACAGCTGCTTTTAACATTTGTCACGGATCGAAGGACATTTTTCAAAGCCAAGAGGTGTAAGAGGCTGTTATTACCAAAGTGGTTTTGATGTAAACAAAAGTGCCTTGGCAAGTGCCCTCAGAAATAGGAAGTAACCTCTTCGGGAGCTGGCAGCCATGGGTAGTGAGCGAGGCCTCGTCAGATGCTACTTTCTGAAGTGGGGTTAATTGGAAGCTGTCAAGAAGCAGGCAATTACTGACAAAAATGAAAACAGCAGTCTGTGCTGGGAAGATTCAGGGCTTCATGCCTGGCCTGCTTTATATCAGATGGACTGTCTTAAAAGAAAAGATAATAATTCATCAGTGTTAATGGTTCAGTTTCATGCTCATGACCCCACTGGCAGGGAGGTGGTTAGTTTAAACGATACATTTTCTATTGAGCATTTGCAAAATACACCTTTTGTTTGAAAGCTAGATATCAAAGCTCATACACAGAAGTTACATGCTTTGCAGAATTTGGGATCCTGTGAAATCTTGTCTTTCCTTAAAGAGGTTGTAAATCCTTACCTATTCCCAATAAAGTGACTAGCCTCAGGTGATACACAGAGGTGAAACAAATCCCCCTACATAAGTTATAATTGTTTATTTGCAGACATTTTTCCTGTACACATCCTTGTAAAAAAAGGATTTTTCACAGAATCACAAAGCAGGGGGGAGAGAGCTGAAGTTACACACTGTACAAGAACTCTAAGAGCTGATTGGATGGAAGAG